ACACCTTCAACACTAATTTTATTGTTGCTTTTTAAAGATTAAAGAAAATAAATATGATTAATTAGTTAATTATATAGAAAAAATGAAGAAAAAATTTGAAATAATAAAAACTAAATAAATGAAAGATAATTTAAGAAAATGTTTAAAATTAATGAATTAAATTAAGAAAATAAGTAAGTTAGAAAAGAAAGAAAGAAAAAAACATAAGAAGAATAGATAAGAAAAATAAATTAGATAAAAAGCTAATATTTAAATTTTAAAGAGTTTTATTATTTTAAAATTAATTTTTATATTAAAAAAATCAAAATCTAAAACAAGCAAACTCTTTTTACCCAAGATCAAGTGTTAAATTTGTGAGATTAGTACACTTTAACAAAGCAGAACCTAATCCTGATACACCTTAATCACAAATTTTACTATTACTTTTTAAATGTTGAAGAGAATTTATATTATTAATAAAATAGAAGTAAAGGAGGAAAAAATAAAGAAAAAAGAAAAAGAAATTATGAATAAATAATCTAAGCAAAGGTTGAAAACTAAAAAATGAATAAGTTAAATTAAAAAAGAAACAAAACTCAAGCATAAAGAATTAAAAAAATAAATCAAAATCAATACTTAATAAATATATTAAAAGAGTTTTATTGCCTTAAGTTCATTTTTATACTTAAAAATATTAAATTCCAAAATATGAATAAACAGCTTTTACTGGAGATAAAGTGCCAAATTTGAGAGATTAGGGCACAGTGCTAAATGTGAACCTAAACCTAATACACCTTCACAACCAATTTTATTAATACTTTTTAAATATTGAAGAATATTTATATGATTAGCTATAAGAAATTAATTAATTAGTAATAAAAGTTAAAAATAAAAAAATTAAAGAGTTAAAGTAAAAATGAAAAAAACTCAATCAGAATAAAAAAAATAAAAATAAATTAAATAAAAAGCTAATAAATAAATTAAAAAGTGCCTTATTGTATTAAATTAATTTTTATATTAAAAAATATTACAATTCAAAACAAATAAACTGTTTTTACCTAAGTAAAATTGTCAAATTTGATAGATTAGTGCACTTTGCTAAACCAGAACCTAAGTCTGATGCACATTTGTGTTCAATTTTATTTTTACTTTTTAAATATTGAAGAAATTAAATTTTATTAATTAATTATTTAGTTATAAAGAAAAAATGGAGAAAAAAATGAAATAGTGAGAAGCGAATAAAATAATAATCGAAGCAATAGTTAAAAATATAAAAAATGAATGAGTTAAATAAATAAGAAAAATAAATCAAATATAATGCTAATAAATAAATAATCTAAAATTTTTTATTTTAAAACAATTTTTATATTCAAAATATCAAAATCCATTTCAAATAAACAGT